TTGTCTAGACTTCGGAAAAAGTCAGCCACGACCCTCTGCCGTGACGGTGCAGGAGACCGGGTCTGGCCGGGGCAAATGGCGGGTGGGTGCACGTATGAAAACTAAGTCCGGGTTTCATTTGACTGACTTTACGAGGGAGACATAAAATGGATTTTACTGTCGGCTAGTTCGCCAGTTCTCGAGTTGGTAACGTTGCTTTAGCGAGTATAATATACCCTCCTCGCGTTTGCTTTACTTTCTTCCCTTTCTCCGTTCGTTGTTTCCTCGTCCCTCAGGACGCGTCCTCTCCTTCCTGGCTTCTTCCTTCCGTTTTTCCTCCACCCAATTTCACTCCATACCCATCGACCTGTCGTGTTCTTAAAACCGAGCTTCGCGGTAAGTTGCCACCCTGGCCGTGGAAAGTTCTCGCACGAGAAACGTCTCGCCAACGGATTTAATATCCGCCGGATAAGCCGGCACGCCGGTCGTTAACTGAACTTCGAATTCGTTTCCTGTACCTGCTTCGACAGCGATTCCAGCCCACTCGCCGCTGTTGCCTTTTCTTCAGTTAATAGGATGTCATTACGGAACGTTTTCAGGCCCACACCACTACTTAATGGCGTTTTTTACGAAACGTTTATCTGTCCACCCAGCTTCTCGTGTTCCTTATTTGCTTTTTGACTTCGAGTCACGATACACTTGCTGACTTCGGGTGGTTGATGGGTCACTCGTGGTACACGACACCTTTAATGATCCAACGAACATAAGTTCACTTCTTAATTGGTATAAATGCTATTTTTGGTAAACGAGATATTTTGTTTATTGATATAATTTCTTATGTTGGATTTTGTTACATTTATGGTAACTTAACACATAGACTAGCACATTGAAGCAATTGGAAATTGTATTCAGTAGTGTTTTAATTTTTAATAAATTTGATCAAATATTTTCATAATATCTTGTTAAATTTATGTTCCATTAACCCATGTAATTAATACAAGATTTTTTATTAGGAAAGCGAACAAATTTTTAATAATACACATCCTAGATCTGTGTAGAAACTTAAGTGTCACCCATGTATGGCGGCTGTCAACGTGTTAACACTATTCCTACCGACACTTCACGTATACCTATTCCTACCGCGACCGGTCAAATGACCGGTCTTTAGCACAACTTATATTTTTTAATATAGGATGAAAATAATAGCCAATTTAATAATATAAAAATATAGTTTCTTTTATTTAGAAGTATATACTATGTACTTTATTCGTTTTCACCACATTTTTTGCAAATAGGCTTCTCGATTGTACATTTTCCACATACATACTTTTTACATTGCAGACCAATTTTATTGGTTTTATTATCTTTGCA